CTTTCCATACGTAAGTTGTGTCATATACCCTTTACCTTCATTTACATCGTTAAGAAATGATTCATCACCTATTGTCACTTTTCGTTTGAAAAAATGTAATTTTTTTTCTGTTATTACTAATCTACGGATTTTAATTTTATATTACTATAACAATGCGATCATACCATTACTATAAATGCGAAAGTATAGATGGATGTTTGTTAGAGTTTGAAACCTAAACGGCTGTACGAATATCGACGAAATATGTTATAGATGTTTTTGTTTTTTTTAATCCCAAGCGGAAGGAGTTGCGGACGTAAGCTGTAATAAAAATTAAAGTCTGTTTGAAAGCTACTTGTTTGGAAATCAGTAAAATCTAAGTTCATCGTATTAATGTCACGCTCATGTCGACATTTGGCACAGAAAATTCCTGTGTTTGCCATTTTTGTGAAGGTGCTGTAAGATAACATAAAAATTATTTCAATATAATAAACACCTACGCACGTATATTACGACTATAAATTCAGATAATAAATCTGAATAAGTAAGTGATGTCATCCAAGTTTTCTCCACATAATCCTTAACCATAGCCATCAATTCATAATGATAAAGTAGCTATCGTAACCCCTTTAAATATATCTTTCAACGTTTCGAAAAGGCGCTATTAAGAATTTTTCAATAAAATATTATTTAATACATGTTAAATCTTAACTACTTCAAAACTGTACGCCACAATGAACCTCGACAACAACAGTATTGCTGAGTTATTTTAGTATCTGTCTCGAGTTACGAAAAGGGATATCTCACAATGTATCTGTTAGTAAAATAAATACCTTTGACCCAAAAGCGTCAAAGTGAACGGGAAACCGTTTTGTTGATGCGATGGCCCCGGGAGCGTTAGCGCCGGATAATTATCCAACACTGTAATCCGGGAAAATGTTTACTTTATCAGTCGAAACGTTTTCCTCGCAAACCTCGAGGCGATCTAACTGTTACTCTGTACATGGCCATACAACTGGATCTCTTCCTTACAAGCTCTATCTAGCAAATACAGTTGTTTGTCGACATTTTTCTTCGAACTGTTAAGATCAAGCAAGACAACATCGAAAGCTTTGGAATAAAATGTTCTTCTATTTTTAAGTCAGTATAAAAAAGTTATTAGTCGACGCCAAATCTTTATATTTGTGTTCATGGTATATTGTTTTTTTTACTTTTATTGCGAAAATTTTCATTCAAATAGGTCTAATCTATAAGATGGTACACACTGGAACAACTTTAGATCAGTTCTCCTGAAATAATGTAATTTTTAAGCCAGAATATTATAAAATAAATATAACTCTTCGGTCGACAATCATAAAATATTGTTGGTTTACGGAGATGTTATAAGATACGTATTGCAAACAGAACAGTTAGGTCGTAAATTGGCCGCAGTTCGTTGAAGCCGCATCAAGGGGTGTGTCCTGTCACGACTCATTGTATAACCACGATAAATCTCCACGGTCAAATTCCGAAGAAAGCTGACACCACTTAACACCGAAATAAAACATATTTACAAGTAAAAACATGATACTTTTGCAATTTTTAAAAGGTAAGAATTAACTTTTTAATAGTCCATTCAAACCTGTATGTTAATATATAAGATTGTTAAGGTTTACTTAAGAAAAACTCACTTGTACATTTTTACCTAGGATACTCCGAGAAAGAAAGCCTTTTAGATGAAGTAGAGGTGAACATAATAAAAATGACATACACACGCATCCGCGAAAATTACTCTCCTTTCAGTAAGCTTCCTGAAGTTCAATGCTATCCATCCCTTACATTCAACTGTTATAAAAAATGTATTTTTATTTTACTTTCCTTCATGCCCTAGCCTTATAGATGATTTCTAACCAAATCTAAACAAATAAGTCTATGGGTACCGTTACGAAACCTAGTGAGCAACCTTATGCTAGGCCCGAACCAACAACCTGCGGGCTCGTAGCGACCCGCACACGATCACCTGCTATGATTTATACCTCGGAGCCGGCATTGTGCTGTCACGGCGACTAGACAGACTAAACTTATGAACTATCTAACCTCAAATGTCTGGCAGTTGAGATAAACAAATCACTGCGATCCTTACAAGCGTAACCAATCGCAAATGACATTTAAATCAACCATAGACAATAAATGCATCTGTTATCACATTAGTTTGATGCACTCCCAGTTAAGGGGTAGAACAAAGGGTAGATACTAAGGTAGATTTAGTATGAAATATCCGCACTAAGGGATTATTTAATAACCATGTAATGACTGATTGTTGCAGTTAGATCCATATTAATTTGGTGACATGATCAAAATTCTTCAATCTTTAGAGTAGAATAGCCTAATGATCTCGGCGTTCAAGTATAAATAAAATTATTAATAAAACTTAACATTACAGTAATAAGTTCTAAGTTAAATTTAAATAACATTTTAAAAATGTTTTGATCAATTTATTAACATAAATATAAGAAAACAAAATAGCTTAAGGCGGTATATTAAGTATTTAACATATCTCTACGAATTCCGATGAAAGTTGAAAACCTTTTATACTGTTGTATTAATTTATACCGTAAATGGTTAACTCCCTATACGGAAATGAACGCTGAAACAAAGAACGAGAAAATCAAGGCGTCGAAATCGGAGCACTCATTAATTAACTAGAGACGGATCAACACAATAAGACAAAATGACAGTAAAAACGATTTACCTTTTTATTCATTCAAATAAATTTATCAAGATGTATTTATTTTTTACACATATAAGTAAACGATTATCTACCTGAAGTAACTGGATAGTTTTTATTTATTGGTTAAACTGGGTATTTTAAACTAAGACAAGACAAAAATACCTATAACCTAAGAGGACTTAAGACTAAAACTTCGTAGTATATCAAATGTGTGAGTACATCATCGGTATGTTTTCCAACAGATTTTATGCCAATGAAAACTCGCAGCGAACGACTCTTGTTTAAATTATACAACAATGAAGTCATACATGTCTCAATGAAGATAAAACATTCCACCACTGATAACTATACTTACAGTCAATTGATGGATGATTAAGTATAACAATTAAAATTATATATGCAAGATTTACCTTATTTACATTACCGATAGCGGTAACTTCCCGGGGCGGTACTCTTAAATGGTTCTTTGTTCAAGTTACATTAAAGCCATGTAAATGGTCCCATTATCTTTACAAAGAATTACTTTTTAAAAGTTAAATAAGACCATCGATCTTCAAAAACTATGAAATTATTTTTTTTAATGGGCGTCGTCAGCCAGCCAGCTAATAATCGACATTAGATTAAGGGTAGTAACCATTATTGTTCGTATTCGAGGTAGTTTTAAATTTATTTTACATTTTTGATTCTCTATGTAAGAAGTTCACTCCCCTCTCTCTTCTTATGATTTTGGAATGCAATACATTAAAAAAATAATACTTTAATTTAATTAAACCATAAGATTAAGTTTAACACCGATTTTTGTTATTAAAAAAATATTTCCTGTTCGCTAAAATTATAAACAAATTAACTTACACAATAAACATTAAGTAATACTTACATTGTCGCAAATTGCTCATTTCCTTTTACCTACGCAATATCCTAGTATCTCAGCAAAAGACAAAACTTCCGCTACGAGCTTTAGTTTCTCAATTGTTACTGCCTAATTTGTGAACATTCAAATATAATGTTTACAAGTACTTTAAAAGCAATTATTACTTAATTTATATATTTATAGTGGATTGCATTTACACACTTTTATCGCAACATCCTGACCGCAGAGTATTGACAAACAGAACTTTACCGAATCAACAAATTGAAATAATGAAAGCCAAATAATAATAAAAACTAGGTTATGAAATATGATCCTTTTTTTCAATTATTTGAAGCATTGACCTCGAAGATGACGTGTGTAAATACATAAGGAGAAATGCAAATTTTTAATTGGTTTCCGGTAGAAAGTGGGTGAACCTGAAACCGCGTTGGACGATACGTTTTGTATCCGAAGTACTACAAAGAGGCGATACTCGGCATCGACTTTGCACTTAGCAACCATTTGTACTATTGAAGTCGATTATTCAATGTCATATTTTTACCGACGTCTTCGACACGCCCATGAGTCACGAGGAATGCTGAAGTGTGACAGCGATGACAGAAACATCCACAATTAAAACTACCTCAGTACACCATAGATATTAAGCAAATAACACGTATAACCAAAAAAAACAAGTTGAAAGCTTTAAAAACTAAAACAAAACGTTTAAAACTACTTGAACTATCGATTATAGTCTATCAAATTCCGTTGTCGGCGCACACCTTATGAAATGATTAACGTTGTCTAATACAAAATCCGTAGGCGCTTGAGATACACCGTGACCGCATTTGTTTTACTTATAACAAAGTAAACCAAACTTTATGGGGGCTCAGATTGTATGATTTCAACACTAATAGCAAAGAATACTAATAATTAATATTCTGTTCCACGAGATTTTAGTTAAAGAACTGAAGTTACACATACTAAAATATCACCAATCAAATCTTTGTAGAATTCCTGTTCTATGCTTCCAAAAATGCGCAATTTGCCATAACAGCGCCTTAATTATCGGTACGTAGAATGCATGAACATCATATCTGTGCGCTCGCTTTGTTCTATCCAAAGTAACATCTGGTATCATCTTGAAGAAGATAAGCGCTCCCAACCTCGAGCTTCAATAAAGTTTGAATCTTATTATATCTGAAATGCTCTTACGTGATACGGTTCTTGTCAATTTCGTTATCCAATGTCATGGTGGTCCTTTCTGGGTATTAAGGTAGACAAAATCGGTAGGCGTTATATAAGACTAAATAAATTTATAGAACAGGCCATAAAGGACCTGTTAATAAAAAATTAAATAACTGACGATTGGAAAATTACTCTGTTTTTTTTTCATTCAAAACTGCACATAAATAATAACAAGGAATTTACGCAAAAAAAGTCAGAAAGATAACATATTTTTTATTAATGTGAATGTTTTTGCATAATACATATATTTATACCATACATTTAAAACTTATTTAATTACTGTGACATAGGTTACCTATATTTCAGCGGTCGGGTTATACCAAATATTGTACATTCTTAAGTTAGTCGGATTATACATCTCGAACCTAACGCCCGTGTTTTATTTCGTACACCACAATTACATTATGTAATTAACTAAATATGTAGTACTAAAACACAATGCCTTAATGGAGCCATTAACAACTAACATAAAATTATAACTTAAATCTATATTTATTGTACAGCCGCACTTTTTCAGCCAGTCAGAGACTTGTTTCTCTTACACAGTATTTTATTGCAGACTAATGTAGTCGCCCGCAACTTCTTCATCATCATCTTCCTCCTTACCATTCTCCCGTAAGGTCGGCGCAACAGGTTTTTGTCCTCCACATCTCTCATCATACATCTTCTCAGTCATCACTCCCTTCTTGATCATGTCTCCTTTCACGCAACTTTATCAGTGAAGAAAAAACTAGCCTATTATTCCAAAAAACATCAGATAACTTCCGTCCAAGTACAATTAAAAATCAATCCAGCCATTTTAGACTTCACTAAATCTACATTAAGAAAGACTCTTAATGACTTCTTAAATAATTCTGTATATGACTTAACTGCTTCAATATTCATACCAATAGAGCTTTTACATGTTCCAACCAATGTCTTCTTTTCTTAATATCAACTGCATTTGTCGCTAACTCTTTGGTTGTTATACAGAAAGAAAACATATCAGGTTTAACTGTCCATGATTTGAAAAAATTATCTCTCACTTTATACCAATTTTCATAATAACGTTGAGATTTCTTCTTCATAACATTGTAAGGTATACTCTCTAATTCACCATCTGCAATTTTTTCTCGTAAACTTGGATCATTTTGCAATATATGCAAGAATCTGCGATACATATAATATTTTGATATGCACAGTGCAATTTTCCTTGTTCTTTCCATTTTCTTTGTCACACCCAACCTTTTACCATGTACCACTACCTCAATTACACTGAAATCAAATACATGAAAACTTATACTTATATTAAAACCAATAAATAAACTTAAATAAATCTGACTATAGATAAATAAAGGTACTTAATACAATATGTATTGAATTTATGTAAGGGGATTGGCTCCTAAAACTCAAAGCAAGCTTGTTCAGGATAGAAACCACCCACAATATTTATATGAGTAGTCTTTATATATTTAATATATTATATTATGTGTAAACTAGTGGTTGCTTGTGACTTTGTCCGCGTGAAATAAAAAATATAGCCTGTGTTACTCACAGATAAAAATAAATTACCTTTCTAATGGTGAAAGAATTTTTAAAATATGCCCAGTAATTTTTGAGTTATTTCAATACATACAAAAATACAAATATTCCCTCTTAATATTATTAGCATAGATTATATATGAGACTTACCCAAAATTAACTATTAAAATGCTTCCAGGTGATGGCTGGGGTCTCTGTTCACATTTCATAATATGGAAAATAGTTGACGTTTGATAAATGTATGGAGTAACAGGTACTGTTATTTGTTCTTCCCTGTTTCTGTGTAAGAAAGCACGAGCAAGTGATTCCTTAGAGAATGGCACTCCGCCTCCAAAGATAAAATGTTTTATATAAAGAGGTTCTGCTAGCAGCATATCCAAAAGAGCTCCTTGGATACCCACATGAATCCATCTAGCAATTTTGTCACTACATGACACAGACAGAGTTCGGTCACCTAATCCTGGTTTTGTCCGCACCTGTCCTAACAAGTGATATTTTGCTCCTGGCTCCTTAGGATCCTGTTCATTTTGCGGCAAACATTTTGCACCAGTTCTATGAATATCATCTTCATCTATCTTTAATTTTTTACTTTCCATTTCATTATTTTCGTCCTCAGCGTCACGTTTACGCGAAGTTACGATTTTCCCAAATTCATTTTCATTCGATTTAGGTATGATAGAAGCATCTCCACATGGCATTTGAGATGAATAAAATATGAATTCAATATTGTCTCTCAATTTAAATCGTCCATTTTCTTTTACAAATATCGACTCCTGTGGTGATGTACTAGTTATTGCCTTTTCTATGTTTTCATAAATATACAACATCAGTCCCCTCCTCGCAATCACTTCGGCATGACAATCGTTGACTTTTATCCCTTCCGGTGACATTTTAGACGCTCCAATACATTTCGAACCAGTACCTATTGATACAACTTCGTACCTTTGGGTTGTTGTATCCAACTGAACAATACATGATAAAATTGTCCACTCTCCAGCGCCGGGTCTGCCAATTTTCGGTATTTTATTAAACGATTGTATACATTCTAATGCAATTTTGTCAACAAATTCATCAGTAAATTCCACCATATTGCACTTTTTTATGATCTATCCCGGTTACGACTTTTATGTTCTTTCTTCCATGGGTCAACAAGACCATGAACAACGGATAAGAGAAAACTAAAAATCTAATTATATTATACTTAATACAAATTGTTATTAGTAGCAAACTGTTTTAATATTTTTTTAACTAGAAAAAATCCATTTTGTGTCACTGTCATCAAAGACAAATGTTTGACTTTTTGACAATGATGTATCGATATTTATAAATCGATGCGTTCAATACAAGAATATTTTTGATAATCAAGATATTTGTTTTTTTACTTCAGTAAAGCCGAATGATCTTTGCTATATTATATGTACTTCGCAGGTCAACCTGTATTTATCTCTATTTTGTCAAACTGTGAATAATTCATATATGTTTTTCCAAAAACTGTGAAAATCTAATGATAGACCTGGTATGCTTGGTAACATTACGTTGTAATAATTTTGGTTTCAGTGGTTTAGTTTTCTTTCATTCCAATAGCATTAGCAAAAACAAAGTTGAAAAATAAGGTTACCGGAACTAATTGTTTGGTTTTTCAATGATAAATTATTTTTCTAAATTATCTATTTCTGTTCCCTAAAATATGTTAGACATATGCTTCGGCGTATGTAAGTACTTGTAAGCATACAGTAAAATATAATTCGGTGAAACAGAAATATTCCTGAGACTATAGAATTTGTCACTGCCCATTTCGCAATATTACAGTCGCATTTTTATTTTTAATATTCCTCATCATCGTTACTGTGTAAAATGATACAGCAGTCTATGTCGTTGGCGCTCGGATGCACGTCTACTATCCATTATAATGATAATAAGTGGGCGGTGATAAAGCAGGGTAGTTTCTCATTCCACGCCTCATTATATTTCGACGTGATATGCTCTATCCTTATTCCAATTTAAATTATCATTCCCAGCAATGTCAGCATCGCACCATCGTAGTTATAATAACAACAATATAACTCACTCTCGTAATCAACTGGGGTAGGCAGATACCATGACTAGTTTTAATTTAAATAATTCTAGAACTGGGGTTAGATGTTAACAATTTTTTTTATGGTAAATTACAAAAAGGAACTTAAAAAGTAATTTGCAATAAGTACAGTATCGATAAAGAATAGACCATACCAATAAACAACAGGACCATGACTACAGATAATTTAATCATCCATTTATCTTGATTGAATTAGTAAAATTGATTACGGAAGAAATTGATGAAGTAATAAGACAAACAACAAAGCGAAAATCTTATGAAATCTCTAGGAAACGATCAGATCGTCGTGTGCCTTATTTCCTTTCCTTTCACTGTTCGCCCTAAGCTATGTTTTGATTTTACCATCGATTAATCTTTTTCGTGGGGCAACGCAGCTTATTAACGCAATTCTGTATTTGTACATAACTACTATAATAATATTTATGGTATTGTTGGCTTTTTCGCATTGGAACATTCTTGACTACGTGAGCAGTATTCTTCTGAAAGAAAGACAATCGGTAATGTCCTATATTAGGGTAAGGAACAAAAGGTACTTATTCTGTATATACTTATGTCAGATCAGGGAAGACATAAAAGTCCAATAGACTCTATTGGTCTTGTTTAAAATTGTTCTTGAACTACCACAGTCTTCACAACAAGATATAAACGTCGTAATAAATCAGAATGTAATAAAAACAACAACAATAAAGGCTTGAAATCAATAATCTCCGATCACTGCTTTTTCAAAGGTGTTAGCGCAACATGAATAATTCAGTTTCCCAAAAATTATGCAATAGTACAAATTGAATTAATATCAGTGTGGTTTGAATTAAACTTACCCCCTGCTGAGTGAGACAGCTGGGAATATATAAATAACAAAAGGCTCAATGTCATCGATCGGAATCGATAAATTGGCCGGTTGTTTCGTATTGAAAAAGCTTTACAAATCATTTTGTAGCTGTTTGAAGGTTAAATTGTGGCACTTTTATTAAAGCTTTCGAATATATGTTTCTATGTATGCAGTATGCTTTAATAGATGCTATAGCTTTAAAGACAAGTAACATCTCTATTTCACAGGAATCCTGGACGCCATCGTAGCTTATTGCAATCTTATCAGATTTGCTCTTACATTCTCCCAGCAGCGGATTAAAATAAAACCGCATACACTAAAGTGTCTCTTGGATGGTATGTGTAATAACTTCTACTAAATGTCATGATAGTAATAAAAACAACAAAAATATACAAGTTTCAATAACGGCGATAACAAATCGGAATCGTGACGAGCTCGCATTAGCACGCGGCACGTTCCGGAGCGCACGGCATCAGATACCGCGTGGTGTTGCCACACGGCAACTCTTTCCCAAGACCATTACCGATTATATAGAATTTTTGTATTCAAAATTAAATTATACATTTGTATATAACTATAATTTTATAATCTAAGGGTTTCATCAGTTTTGGTGGTGATGAGTTTTGTAGTTATCCAAAAAGAAAATGTTGCCTTTAGTGTGCTTCATTGTTGAATTAAGAGGAGCTTTAGGATATTCAGTAATATTGCTCTACTATGCAATTAAGCGGAATCAGGTACTATTACATGCTTAAGAAAGAAAGAAGTTACACAAAAGAAAGAGGTAAATACAAAAGGAAAGTCTTAAAATTACGAGTTATCCTGGCAATCGTGTAACCAATGCACCGGCAGTAATGCGCTCCCCGATATACTATTTCATGCTATTACAGTTGTTGTGTTCAAACCGCGTAGACAGCTAATATCGTTCGCAATGATCGCAGGCTCCACCGCCCGCTCCTATCCGATGTAAGACGTATATTTCAAGAAACGAGGATTGCGTGAGGCGGAAGCATAAAGCACTTACATTTAAATAAAAGTATTTTTACTTGGAATCAACAATACGTGTACCTACTATGAAAATAGAACAGGCAAATTGAAAAAAAATGAACTTATTTATAACGCCTATGAAAATCTTCATTGCAGATGTATGGTCGAATAAGTTAACTTTGCCATTGCTCCAGGCAACTTAATTCTGTCTTCTTCACACATCTAAAAACGAGTTGCTTACCAACTGGATTATACAATAAATTATCCGGTAGCTAAACACGGAGAGAATCTTATTTTCAGTCGATTAACTCGAAAGTTAATTCACATACTTAAGCCAATTATGTCAGTATAGATGTATTAAGTAGGAACTATTTAACAGGACAATTTACGAGCGCACCTAACATGTCCTAGTGCATATAAACAGGGTTGTGACATCCTTGTTTTAGGTACTATTGAAGAGTTCTTAATATTTCGGACTTTTTTTTTTATAATTTTCAACGAAAAAGGCAAGTAAAATATAAAATGGGAAATTTTAAACTTCACTAGCTGAAAAGTTTAGAAAAAAGCATTTTTTTAACCTAGCGTTAAAGCCAAATGTTTTTTTTTAATTAAGCCTCATATAGAACAAACCTAAATCAATAAAATTGAACGTTCTTAAAAGCTCTTAGTGGTACTAAATTTTATGATAATACTAGCTTTCGCCCGCTACTCCGTCCGCGGGGAATTAAAAAAAAGTAAGTAGCCTATGTGTTCTTCCAGACTATCCTATACATCTAAGCCAAATTTCACCTAGATCCGTTTAGCAATTAAGGCTACAAACTCTAACAAACATCCATGCATCTATCTAAACTTTTACATTTATAATATTAGTAAAACTAGAAGCAGCCCTGTATAAAAGCGCAAAGCCGCTAAAGTTACCGGTGATCAATTAATTCCACACTTGCTATAGAAGGACATCTTTATGCCTGATGCTAACGGTGCTTTCCTTTAAGTATCCAGCCGTATTCCTTATTGGTCCTCTGTCAACAGAGTATTAACCGTCTAAGATGTACAGAAAAAATGTTAATTATTCGTTCAATTAATTACTTTGGAACCTTTTCATAGTAGCCATGGCCTTTGGCGGATTTGAAATTGAATAATTCAAAATCGGTAGGTAACATAAGTCTATCTATTTGCCTAATTATTTTTTTAAGTATCTTTATTAGTAAATAGACTCTTTTATGGAAGAAATTGTGTGATAATACTTCAAAAAAGTACGAAAACCGAACTTTATTAACAAAGAAATCCTCTGAGAATATTAAGAAATTGGAAGTTACCATAGCAATGTTGACCTCTACGTAGTGTTTTTATAAAGGTAATGTTTAGGATATTTTAATTCTTCAATTATAAGTATACCTTTATCATTTAATCAATATACCATTATTTTAGTATGGTATACTATTTCAGTATGGTAACATTATGAAACCACAACACCTGTCCACACCTGTCAGTGGACTGTCAGCTGACTGAACTGTCAAGGCGCTATCAAATCCGAAACTTGTCCAAAAAAAAAGTTGAACACATCATACAAGCTGTCTAGAATATTAGTAGGAAATTACATAAACTTTCTTTACCTTAAGATAAAATGGGCAACTGGAAACTAGAGGTTGGCAGAATGGCAATGTATACCACATTTCCTGTGATACTCTTTTTCGTTTTCAACCAACCAAAATACTTTGAAGAATGGGTTACGAATACAAAACGACAAATATTCCCTCCTGAAAACAAACAGGACAGAGAAGATATACAAAAGCTAATCCAGGATATGAGAAAGAAACAAATGCGAGCATTGGAAGGGGAGTAGTATATTTTCATAGATTTAAAAGTTCTTGTTTGTTTACATTAAAGTTTAGTTAATATTTACTTACATTTTATTTATATTAACCGTCATCAAAATAATAAATTTCTATGTTTCTTAAAGTAGAAATTCCACTCAGTGAAAAACAAATAGATTATTAATAAAATAAAGGCCAAGAAGATTCAGGAATGAAATAATCTCTAAACATGTATAAATTTATTAAATTCACAATCAATTAGTACCAACATTATGTAAAATATTGCATACATTATCTTACTCAATTTTGCTTTTCCTCTTATATTGATAGCTCAATGCCACTCCGAGTAATGTTGCAAATAATGATGCATATAGTCCATATGCCACCCCAAAGTATTGTCCAATGAATCCCGCCACCATGGGGGCAACAACTCCCGATAAAGATGTCACACTATTTGTTGCACCAATAAGAGTTCCTCTATGTTTTCCTTTACATCTTGTTAACACCATTTCTAAAGAAACTAATCTACCTACAGCACTACCAACCGCTAAAGGTAGCAAACAAACAATAAACATATACACATTTGTAGCTAAAATCATTCCTGTTAATGAAACACCAACAAGAATGAACATATGTAAATTCCGTACACTATAATCAATATCATAAGAGTAAAATTTATTAATATAACCTATAAAAAAACTAGAAACAGATGATATCACACCCTGAATAGATATAACATATCCTATATATTTAGGTGACAATTCATATATTGTTTTTAAATACAATGAATAGTTAGAAAAATAAACAGCCATTGCAAAACTTATTAAAGCTTTCAGTAGAAAAACATCCCAATATTCAGCCCATGGTATTTTTGACAGCTCAACAACTGATTGCTTACTGCTTACTATAATTTTATTTAATACACTCTCTTCTTTATTGGCTTTTCTCTCTTTTGTTACTTTCTTAATAGTTGCGGGCAGGAAATACACTAAACCTGAAAATTATCATTTATTTAGGTTAGTAAAGTGTGTTATTTGTCAAAAACCTATTTAATAAACTATTTATATCCATGCAATTTCTTGTCCGAATATCATTGACTAGTGTAATTAACTAATAAAATCACATAAATCCTTTGTCTTAATTGCCATACATGGAATAAGTATTGCCTATTTCAAATTTTCATCCTTTTTAAGTCTAGTAATATAACATTATCTCATAATTGTTCTAAATATAATTTCGAATCATATAATATTTTACCTGCATTAACAAGGAAGCAAAATCCAACAATAACAGCAATATACATAAAACCATTTTCTGGATGATCTTCCACAATGTGCCCTCCGATAACTGGTCCCAAAGTTATACCCACACCAGATATAGCAGCCATTTTACCATAAATTACAGATTGTTTTTGTTGATTACTCTCATAATCCGGCACTAAAGCCTTTGTCAACAGTTGTGTTTGTTTAAATAAACCTAGAAAATAAATATGAATAATTTGTAATAATGACATTTCAAATTAGTTATCTCTGTAAATTTCATAATAACACTACTGCTAGAACTGATTAAAAGTTAGATTGTAGAGTCAAATATGAATGTGTAAATTTACAAAACTTTAGGAACTTATAGATATTGTCAGTTTAAAAATACTTGTGGACATTTGCCAATAATATGAATTTATTGTCAGAAAACTACACAACAAACACATGGCACATATTTTTGAACCCATAGGTATACCCAAGCGTTGGAAAATGTCTATGTATTTGTGCACCTGATGTAAAATTGGTCCATTATAAAATTAGTAATTGCATAACTTGTTAATTAAAATATAACCATAACAGCTTTAGAGTACTAAAAAGTAAGTAGAATTTTAATTACCAAGCATTCCCCTTAGTATTAAAATTACAGCTATTGATGAAGTGAATCCCATAATTGTGTACACAACTGCACACAAGAGCAGCGTCAGCATTAATATAGTTCTCCGACCTTTGAGGTCACTTAAACTTCCCTAAAAAAAGAAAATACTTGTTATTACTTCATTTATTATGAGTTACATTTTTGCCATACTCTTACATTCTCTACTAGAGCATTGGGAATCATGGAACGAATAAAATCATATATTAATTGAAAAGAATTCCATCTGTTTTGTGTAGTAATGTTGTATTGTCATCTGAGCTATGTGTATCTAAATTCTAATTAATCTATCAAAAGGGTCTTTCAATAATTTAATGTGGCACAAATATATATAACATGTTAAATAAGACATTAAAACCAGAAGTGAATATAATTCCCAGAAGTAAATTTGTTGCAGACCCAATGAAAACTTAATATACAAAGATAAAACAGAAGTATCAAGGTTCCATGCAATTTATAAATATTAAAAAGTTGTGTGTCGAATCTGCTGTAAGGCAGAATTTTAATTAAACTTATGCAGATATTAATTCAAGTTTATAAATGCCAAATGTCATATACATTCACTTTTAAAATTGCTATATTGGTTTTGGCCTTCATGTATGTTTCAATAAAAGCTTGTTATACTTACTATGAGAGGGCCTGATCCTAATTGAAATCCTGAATATATTGACCCTAGTAAGCCAACATATATGTGGTTCCCACCTAATTGGCGTATGTGATTAGGAACCAAGGGAACTATTAACCCTACTGCCAATAAGTCCTGCAAATAAGATATGTTTCAAAGTAAATATTTTTTAAAGAATTTAAGTTAGTTTCAATATATAAAATGAAATTTTACTAACCAGAAAGGCAACAAATTGTAAAAGGTATACGCAAAGAGCCATCTTCACTAATATTTAATAAAGGTACTTCAGAAATCACCGGATAAATGTTAACATATTTTTTTTGGAAATGATTGAGACGTTTATCCTCAATATAGGTGACGCAATAAATAATTCATAACTGCATTTGAAGTTGAACATTAACTTTTAAAACTTTTGATTTCGCGTTAAAATGTGTTGTCATGTCACCATAATGTCACTGTCAAAACAAAACGTCAACTTAATGTCTTTTAAATAATTTATAGATGTCACTTTGGGTGCTAAAATACGTGCTGTGCAATTATTATCTGTTGTTGTTTACTGACTTTGTAATTGAATCTCAAATGTCAACCTGACATCGTTGTCATCTTATTGTAATCTGTCAAGAAATTCCCATCCCAGCTCTGCAAAACCGAAACAATTATTGAGAATTAGAACTTAATTCTTCTCATATTAACAAAATGAGTAACCTTCGGAATATTGTAATGTTTATTTCTCATGAAACTGTTTTGTGATTTTTTTATAAAGCGCATTTATTATCACATCTTCGATGTTGTTTTAGGTTTTACAGAATTTCAAAAAAATACATCGCACTAGGATGAAAGTGTTCGACGGAGATTTAAGAGCATTAAATGCAGCTAGGGCAAAAATTAATGAGGAATATAAAAAGAATAAACATGTCACTGAACAAGATTCAATAAGGGCTGTAAGTATATGTCGAAATCTAACTATAATATATATTTCCTTTAGTGCTAATTTATTTTTGAGTCTGTTTATAATGCCAATGATTATGTAACGTTACTTTAAGTATTGCTGTAAACAGTAATGTTTATAATAATATAAAACAACATTCAAACAACATTAAGCCTTAGTTTTGTAAAGAAAAAATCTAGAACATCATGTGGAACTTTGTGGAGCTTTTTTGGTAAGTAGTTACATAGTAAAATAAAATCTTTATTATGTGTTGGCAAAAATATTATGAAGTTGGCAAATTTCCTCCTCAGTGAGATAAAAAAACTTTATTTAATGTAAAACATACAAATTATCCTCTACAAGAACAATACTCTTTACCTGGAATTTAAAATAACTATTAGTAATTTTTATCTCTATAATTTGAATTTAATGACAAGATTATGTTTCAGATGATTAAATTTAGTGAAGATGTAGAAACTGAATTGAGAACACAAGTAATTCAAGCTCGGGAAGTGAGGCCTGGTGTTTTTGGTAATACAATTTTGTTAAAAATACTTTTTAAATACTTAAATATATAGTAACGAAAGTATAGGCATTGTATCTCTTAACAAACTTGCAATTTTTTAACATCTTTATCTGGCACCATTTATTAAATTTTACTTATTTTCACACAACACTTTTTTACCCAGATCTTTGATTATTTTGAATTGTCATTGCAGTGGTATCTGTAAATAGTTGTAATAGACTTTTTATTTCAGAGGCGAGGATTACCGAAGATACTCTGAAATTGGAAAATGTCCCTTATAATGATAGTGCTGTTCCAGATGACAATACAGATAGTCCTAGACCTTGTTGTAAAGATCAAGCAAGAAGTAAATAACTGTTTTTGTTATTACTAGAATATCGAAGTTTTGTTATGTAGAATTTATTAAATTATTGATACTTAATTGAAATATTTGTTTAAGTATTTATTAGTATTAAATAGATAGATGAAAATAATTCTAAGGTAATGTTTGATTTTCATTTCAACCTATTTTTAATTAGAAGCCGCATTGTATTATTTTTTTAGAGAAGCATCGTAATATAAGTATAAGCTCATCTTACAATCATATCGATAATTGCAAAGGTAAAAGTATAAGAATTAACTGGAATATAAACTGACGCGTCAACTATTTTCCCCCTTATTTTAAAATCTAATAATTTTTAAGTAAATATATACATTTTCAATATTATTTATCAAACAAGGAAATTATATACTAGCTATTGCCCGCTACTTTGTCCACTTAAAATTTAATAATCCAATGTCACATCGGTTCTAAAAGTCAAGTCGAAATAAAACCATCTAACTCCCTATCCTACTTAAAGATCTTATTTATAAGAAAACTAAGATGACACAGTTTAGTTTATAATCCAGTTCAGCGTAAACAAATTAACAGAAGGACACCGACATTTTACAAACACGAGTTAAATAAGAATTTTTGTACAGTGCGTTTGGCAGAATAGTTACTACTCTTTACACATTACGAAAAAGTTTGAGATTTGACTTTTTGTGACATTTTGACATTGACAATTCGTTTCTATAAGATTGAAAATTGAATCTTGTATTTTGAAAAAGGATTTAAAAACTTTAATTATTACGGATCCGAAAACACCTAGAAAATGTTGGCACGAACATTAGTTTCGAGAGCCTTATTATCTAGATTCGCTAAGGTAGCTGCCGACCATGCTAAGCAAGCGAAGAGAAACGCAGGCCATGGGTAATCATCAGTGCTGTTATGTCATACTGTGGCTTCAATTTATCCTGGATTGTTATTTATATTATTACTAAAGTATTATGTATCGAATTTGAATATTATATAAAACATAAATTTAATTGAATACAATTTTCCATATTGAGTAAAACCTAACAGTATTTAAAATCTTCACATGATAAAAGTTGACGTTAGACGAGGCTATATAAAAGCAAAGTGATACATGTTCTTTGAACTTTATCCAAGGTCAATCTTAAAATAGTTTACATATATTTTAAATGTTCTTGCATTATTTACTTTCAGGGTTTGGACATACCGAGTGCCTCCACCTTTACCATCGAAAAGAGCAACATATTTAGCTGAAGGGCTTGGTGGACTGTGCTGGTTTTGGATTCTTTATCATTGTGCAACTGAACCTGAACATATTTATGTTAGTATCTTTTGGAAACAAAGTCTGCTACACTCTGTTCTTTAATGGTCTCCCTTGATGTATATTTGATATGACAAATCTACACTAAGGAATTGGTTTGGATTGATTAACAAATCTGAGTGCAGTAGATCTTTGAAAGGTCTAAAAAACTTTTGATCTATGTTTTTCTAGTCAATATAACATTGTTTATTTTAATTTTAGGGTGAATGGCCTTATATTGACCCTAGCACTTGGACTGATGAAGAATTGGGTATCCCTCCAGATAACGAAGGACCACTGAGGAAGTAGCAATGAAACTAAAACAGTGCATTGATTAATTTTGAAAAACATAGTATCACGTCTTTGTTATTTTATTGAATAATTGTCATTATTTTTGTCAAATAAAATATCACTCACAAGAATACTAGTTATGGTTGAATCCTTATTACACATCAATACAAAATACTTAGAATTAAGTTGTTTTTGAGAACCTTGAAATAACTTGAAATCTTAGGATTTAAGGATAGAAGCTTGATGCTGCATTGTTAATATTATCTTACATATCTTGGTTCAAATTCATTGATACTAAGATTCTTTTGATTTACGGTTGTAGTAAAGGTTAAATACTATATGAATCTTAATTTTAAGTTGTAATTTTTATTTTTCAATCATATTCATAAATTAGAGTATTATTCATTATTAGGATCCTTGGTAAATTAACCAAGACTTTTATCTGCATAACTCAATGAAATCATCATATAGAATCAATTCATTACAATTTAGAAAAGGTGTGAGACGGGAATTTTATAATGAAAATTAAACTTTAAAAAAACATTTTTTAAAAGCTAAATAGCATCTCAAATTACACCTTTTTCTAATTTTCTACAGTTTTCTACCAATATGTAGTGTCAAGTTTTTATTTTTAACCTGTGTTCAGCTTTCATAATATTTTTTGTTATCTGTATTTAGCTAGTGACTTCTCTGATTTGACGTGAATGGTTGGTGTTGGTGAATGGAAAATATTTTTCATGAGATCGCCCTCATTGAATTATTTTGTGAATTTTGGTGAATTATTTTAATAAATTAAACTTTTTTCGTGAAAATGTTGTGATGATGTGATGTGTCGTATGTTTTAATAAAAAATGGAGTCTACAACAAGCCAAAAAGGTAAGTAATCGTCATCAGTCCCAAGTTAGGGCTAACTCTTGTTTGTGTATGAATAACTGTAACTTGCGATATTATTTAGGCTGACGTACGGCACCTGCTTTTTAATATAATTTAGTTTTATTTTAAAACGTTTAAGAAGACTGATAAAGCATACAATCGTATTAATATACTATAAAAATGTATTATGTTTTGTCGAGTTTTAAAAATGATTATCAAAGATGCTAAGCTTTATAAGCATTGCGCTTTCCATTAGTGTATTCGAATGTATGACTCATTTTCTTGACAATGTGATGTCATGTGCATGTTAAAAATATTAAAATTCAATCCACATTTTAACTTTACATAGATATGGCATCTATACAATGTACAACTGACTTCTATGACAATAAGTTGCTTGAGACCCCATGTCTCTCTGTATCTATTAAATGTTATGATTCCAAGTTGAAAATATTATCAACAATATTTTTTGACTACATCTTAATTTAAAACAGTAAAGATAAATATTCATGAGAACAAACTCATCAGAAATAATAATTATCATAGTTTTCATGTAAAGTCATATAATTTACTAATCACAATTGTATCATTTTATTTATTGTTGTTAATGTAATGAAAGAAACTTATTGAGGTCAACATTTTTGTAGATATGATGACCTAAATGATGTAAACATTGGTCTCTAACATCCTAATAAACCAAGTAATGCACATCCCACTATACCAGGTTGTACAAAAAACTTAGTATCACTATAAACTAAAAAAAATAATAAGGAGAATGTGATAAGCATATAACAATGACCATCTGGTCCTTGCAAATGTATTGGAACAATGCATATTTATAGAATGATCACTAAAAATATACAAAAAGAATGGCATCTTACAAATTCTTTAATAACAATAGCAGATGTGTAGATTTGTTCATTGTTTGCATTTTTAAAATATTTCCTAGATGAAAGTATTCATTTTACTTAATTCTTAAGTAGATCTATGAAGACAAGTGTGTGAATCTTGTACAGTTAGCTTCGTTGTATATGTTTACAAAGGTTCAACTTGTTCACACTCACAGTTTCAGAAATATATATGCATGTATTCCACTATATGCTCCAAACTATGGAAACATGCTATTGACAAATAAATACACATATACTGTTCGAACCGATCCCTATTTAAGTTCTGTAAACGTAAACATAGTTGTTCACCTGACTGTACTCCTTGATATGTAAAAAGTCAGTGGAACTTGTAACTGTAGGCAGTAGGTTCATGCAATACCCAGTTACAGTGTAGATAACTGACTCACAGTTTTGTTTGTGTCAAAGAGAAACCTTTTCCACAAACAAAACTGGATTTTTTTTTCACCAATGTATTATGTTTATATAAATGGCAATCCAGCGGCTAGCTGTTTAGTGGAAAATGTTTTTAGATGTGAATATTGCTTGCAGTGACATGTGTCGCGAATTACGCGTACGATGCGTCCGAGCCGGACGAGCTGAGTATCCGGCCGGGCGACGTGGTTCGCGAAGTGGAGCGGCTGTCGGGCGGCTGGTGGCGCGGCGAGCTGCGCGGACGCCGCGGCATGTTCCCTGATAATTTCGTTTCCGTCAATAATGAACATAATACCACAAGGTACTTGTTATTACCTATAAGCCTATGATTCATTGTTATGATTGTACTTTCCTTGGTGCATGCTAAATGACGTGAGTAGAGGCCTATCACAATAATTTGCAAGTAAGTTTTTCGAAACATTTTTGATAAAATTTATATAACATTTGTTTATGTGCTTTGAGACTGGTGGGTGCTACACTAGTCATGTTACAAAACTTTCTCACAAATATTCGTGTTAGGTCCTCTGTTTCGAAGGGTGAGGTTTTATTTCATTCGTATCGTAGTCATACCCTAGTGTCATAGATTAGTCATAGGGCAGGACAGTCAGTTTATTGATTTCTTAAGTTAAATATGAATAATCACTTTTTTTCCCATTTTCCGTAAAGGATAGAGGTTCAATATTGTAAAGTTTCTTCTTATTTCTTAGTCATACATTAGTGAAGATGTATTTCTCATAAAGTTCGACCCGATGATAAGATAGTTATGTTACGCTATGTATCGTTTTTGTTTCGATTTTAATTATTAAAATCGATAAAAAAATCATACGATAAGCACATACTATAACTTCGCAATATGACTGATTCATTAATAAAGGGATTTATACATTTAGCTATTTTTTTACTTTAATACTGTTACAAATTTGGGCTTGCCTTACTTTGTCGTAATAATGTACGTGACTTAAATTTAAATTCGATAGCTGAATGAACAGCTGCTGTGTCCGAATTAATAAAATTGTTACTTTGCTCGGTTTCCCAATTCATGATAAAATATTGAAAACATCTAAAAACATTATTCCCGTATCATCGTTAAATGTCTTTTAAGATACGATGTGTTTTCATTAGATAATTTGTATTTTGATCTAACAATTATCCAAATAATGTAGTTTCTAAAGCCGCTTTAATACGTATATTATCTTACTGAATATTAATATGTTTTTACGATTAGTCGAATGAAAATGATTGGCCCTAATCTAATCAGTGTAGATAACAGCGTCGCACGTTGCTGGAGTCGTCAGTTTGATTTTGTGTTCGGTCTTAAGTTGGTTATATGAAACGCTATAAGCATATTTTAAAGAAAATTGGTAGCGGGTTTAAAAATTCAAGGTAATAATAGTTGTCAAAATACTTTTTATTCATGTACAGTTCTGTACTTTTTCATGTATCCTTGATAAAGTGTGTGTGAAATTTAACTACGATCAGTTGACTCACAGGTGTTTAAGAATAACAAACAAACTTGAATTCAAATTATTTAGGATTGACATTCGCCCGCGGCTCTGTCCGCGTGAAATAAAAAAAAAAAACAAAAGTGGGTAGCCTATGTGTTCTCCCAGTCAATCCTCTACATCTATGCCCAATTTCATCGAGATCCGTTCAGCCGTTTAGGCTACAAACTCTAACAAACATCCATCCCTCTAAACTTTTGCATTTATAATAATAGTAAGATTTTAGACGTATCTGGTGCTATTGTGCAGGGATTGTGTTTGTTCCTCATGTGTCTATTAATATGTTCTATGTGCAGCAACAGATCGGTGGGTGCGCAAGGTGCCCAAGGCCGATGCCGCGCTGTTTTCAGCTACCAGCCCGCGAACCCCGACGAGCTACCACTTTGTGTTGGAGACGTATTAGAAGTTCTTGGTGAGGTAAGTCGGTTAAGTTATCTTTAAACTAAGCGTTACTGTCTATGTAAGTTAATAGTAATCTGTCCAGTAGATTTTGAGTATTGAAATACCTACATAAAATCCAAAAATACTAAATTCTCCTCTTTATAATTTTAGTGTAGATTATTATAAGCGTAACTATTATTTTAAATTCGTTTAACAATAAGTAAATTTGTTTTGAATCCAATGAAATTCCTACAGAAACCAATACTATGGTTTACAAATACATAAGTTTACGTAGGGTATGCTTACGCATAAATACTTCTTTCCTGCTACATCATAATTTTCAATTACTTTACCGCATCCTATATCCCTGTTAAGAATAGAATAAACACAAGCGGTATAAAATTGGTGACTAGTATTACGGGGAACCCCGTTCATTGTTATATCTTGGACAAATGTGCAACGATATTTATTGACTTCGTATATATTTAAGAAATAGAAACAAGCAGTAATGTAACGGGAAACAGCGTTAGCCAACATTCACATTAGCGTTTTTTTAACGCGCGTTTAAAGTTATCGTGTGTAGTAAGTCTAATGTCATAGTTATGGTATACGACGTTCTTTTGTTTATATAATTACGCCACAGAATTACATTAAAAGATAACTGTTGACATATTCTTGTGATCCTGTTTATAAGCCTTTTGCCTGTTGTATTTATTAGGTGCTGACTTTGTCTAGTAGTAGTAACTTGTTTACTCAGTGACCATTTAAGGAGCGTATAAATATTTGTTGCCAAGATTAGTTTCAAGGATGATTGTACGTAAGATGACGTAATTGTTTTCGTCAGCTATGTCTTTCGATCATTATCTGCATTAATCATTAGTATTTATTGTTTGCTTATGACTGAATGAATACATTTTTTGATGTTTAATTGATTGTACGATTTATCTGATGACTGACTTACCTACAAAGTTTTGCTTATTTATACAATACTTAAAATCTGTACTTCTATGCTAATATAATAAAACGTAAACAAACATTTCTTTGTTGCCTAAGATGTCAGCAATTACAGCATGTTTTTGAATAATTCTTTTTTAAATAAAAAGCCCTATACTTACGTCATGCTTTAGGCTATATATTTTCACGTTATTAAACTTAGGACATAAATAAATTGGAAAAAACCGTCATGTGGGAAAAGGACCATAAACTAAATAAAGTAACAATAAAGTTTTTATAATTTCATGCGAATGAAGCTGTACAGGAACAGCTAGTGTATGATAATAGTAGAGCGGTTTTTCTTATAATAAGTATAAGTTCAAAATCTATGAATATCTAATAATATTAATGTGATCTTTGCATAAAATAGATCAATTTGACTTTCTAACCATCCTCTAGCGTCGTTCAACGTAAGCACCGGTCGACCGTAACGATTCGGAGCTGTGGTTACAATTTGCTATCGCCTCGCTTTCCAATGTCTACAGCCGAAAACATCTTTAAACATAAACCTGGCAAAGTCCGCCATCAATACATAATTAGAATTAAAACAATTGAATGAGAAATTAGAGGCAATATAATAACTTAAGCAATTATCCGCGACATAATTTACTAACGTACTTTTAGAGTTAAATTGATAATCTTTTAAAAGGTCTTCTAATAGGTCTTATGACCGAATTCTGAAATGCGTTTACAATCCGGACGCCAAAACTATAATGTCACTAGCTGTTGCTCTCTTCATCAGCGTGAAATTAAAAAATAATAAAAATATAGCCTATGTTACTCACCGATAACGTAGCTTTTGAATAGTGAAAGATTTTTTGAAATAGTCCCAGTAGTTTTTGAATTATCTCAATATATACAAATCTTTCCTCTTTATAATAGTAGTATTGATTAGGAGTTAAATGCTTATCATTTAAGACGCTGTTAAAATGTGTTTTCAATATTTGGCGATAACATGAGGAAATACTAACCTTATACATTTTCTATGTAGACATCAACTCGACTCGAGAAAGTTCTCTCTTGGGTCACCTACGTGATAGTTAGCGTCTATTTTCCACTGCATTGGAATATAGGTAGCATTTCGTTCCTAGACATTTACAAATGTTGATCCCATTTATGCTTAGACGTTTGATATTCACCAAAGAGTATTTTTAGATGTTTAGGCAGTGGAAGTAAAAGAAAGTAGATCGAATTACTCACGATTACTGTATAACGCATATTAACCGTAATAATCATTTTATGTCGATTGTTACGTTTATATCTTACATCTTAATAATATTATAAATGCGAAAGTAGATAGATGGATGTTTGTTAGAGATTGTAGCCTAAACGGCTGAACGGATCCCGATCAAAATTTGGCATAGATGCAGAGGATACTGGAAGAACATGTAGGCTACTCGCTTTTGTTTTTTTTTAATTCTCACGTGGACAGAGTCGCGGGCAAAGCTAGTACTATTATAAGTAGGAATTACTTCGCATTAGTAAGAAGTAACATGTGAAATAGTAAAAATAAAACAAGTTTAACTTCATTCTCGGAACAGAATGTAATTTTACGACATTGTGACAGTATAACAAGGAGCCTTTCGTAACATTTTGTATTGTGTTTAAGTATCGAAATTACTTAAAGAGCACGTTGCTACTGTAGAGATAAGAGACTGGTTATTATGTACATATATCCGGCTTTTTTACACTTTAACACATTGAATGACATACTCTTTATGAGGAATATTTTAATTCACTAAAATCCTTTCTTTTATTATCTACCAACTTTCGCCCGAGACTCCGACCTCGTGGTATTAAAAAAAAGCAAGTAACTTATATTTTCTTCCATATTATCCTCTACGTCTATGCTTCGAGATCCATTCAGCAGTTTAGGTTACCTACAAACTCTAACAAAAATGCATTCGTCCATCAATCTAAACTTTCGCATTTATAATATTAGTAAGAAGTATGTCAAAGCAAAGACGTTATGAATTATTTGAAAATATAATGAGACAAAATGTCGCAAATAGCTCGCTAAAATTGTTTGTATGTCATTTCTCAGACCAATTAAAAGTAGCTACGTGAAACATCTGATTATTATATGAAAAGCCCGCTAACATCAGAAATATAACCTATCTAGGTATGTGAGGGGACTAATTAATTTAATTATAGGATATAAAACTATTAAATTGTAAATATAAAATTATTTCTCAATGACAATAATTTCGGATCACAAGATTCTTTGCGAGTGTAATTATTTTAAGTTGTTTTGGTTTTCATTGATAAATTTTACTATATAGCATGGAACGCAAACTCGGACGTTGTGAAAGACTGAAAAAAATTTCGTGTGTTGTCCAATGTCTAGGGAGTAATTGATAAATGTGTTTCGTTTTGTAGGTAGAGGAGGGTTGGTGGCAGGGGCGCCGCCAGGGCCGCGTGGGCGTGTTCCCTTCCAACTTTGTGGTGATGCTGGAACCCACGCAAGCCCAGCCCGCGCATCCGTACGAGCCTGCGCCAGCACTGCCGCCTAAACCTGGTAATTTCATAGCAAAATTTATGCATAGTTAAAAATGTACACCCAATTTACGTTGAATATCTTTCAGTATACTAAGAACATAAGATAATTTAGCATTATGATGCTAAGATTAGTTTTGACCTAATTGATCTTTCCAAAACAAAATATTCCATTTTTTATTGTATCTCAATAGTTGATCTTAAAATCTGTTTAATCGCGAAATAAAAAAAAAAACTGTTATATTCAAATTTGGATACCGTACTTTTATATCCCCTATCGTCGAAAAAGATCACTGGTAAGGTCTTAAATGATTATTCATTGAAATGGGTAAAACATGTTTTGCATACATACATAATGTGGCCCCATGACATACTTCATACGATAGGCTAAATTATGGTAAATTAAAAAAAAAACTAACAATACCCAGTATTAACTTCTATTCCACAGCGAATGGAGATGGGTTTTTTTATTCACTGGGAAAATAATTCTTAAAGCTTTCGTTGCAACGAGTTGACAATCTCGGCGTAAAGCTCATAAGTCGCTTAGAACTATATACTAGGATCTAACTAGGTGAACCCGACCCGGCTTGCATTGCAAACGCTACGTAAATAAAAACACAACACCTTATCAACGTGCTGATAATACAGCAAAATTTCTTTACAATCTCTCCACTTTTTTAGTTCTGGAACGCATAAACATTTTCATTTAATTCATTTGATTTAACATTAAAGTATTTGAAAGGGGGAAGATGCTAATAAGCGGAACAAACAATTTTTTAAGATTAGACGTGTCAATTCATCCATCGATGTATCCAAAGAGATTTAAGAAATATATAGACCAGGCATAGAGAATAAATTTTTTTCACCGGTAACTTCTTTTAAAGGTTCTATGTTAGTTGTCAAGCTTAGTACGCAACTTCATGTCCTTATTGACATGTTACATAACATTTTACAGTTATAATAAACTCTGTCTTCTGTTATAAAATTAATTAAAAAGCATCACAAAGTAATTATAAAAATGTAAATATGATTTAGTTGCACCTATTGACAACTAATGTAAAAATATTATAAATGCGAAAGTTTAGATGGTTGGATGGATATTTATTAGAGTTTGTAGCCTAAATGGCTGAACGAATTTCGATAAAATTTGGTATAGACGTAGAGGATAATCTGGAAGAACTGGAAGAACTACTCACTTTTGTTCTTTTTAATTCATCGCGAACAGCGTCGCAGGCGAAAGCTAGTACTTATATACATTTTGAGAAATAATAGATAGTTAGTGAGGATCATGTGAAAGTCTCAAGTGGAAGTGTCAACTTTACTTCCTCTAGAACTCAAGTTCCTTCCTGTGGTTAGAGGTTGTGTTGTGCGCAGTGAAGGAGCAATGCCGCGTGCTGTTCCCGTACTGTGCGGTGAACGAGGACGAGCTGACGCTGGCGGAGGGCGAGGTGGTGACCATCCTGTCGAAGGATGCTCCCGACCGCGGCTGGTGGCGCGGCGAGCTGCACGGCCGCGTCGGACTCTTCCCTGATAACTTCGTGCAGCTTCTGCCACCCGGTGAGTTACTTCGACCTCTATTTATCTATTTTATTTATTTAAGAAACCATTCAGCACCCTCCACCTCGGGGACGCATAGTGAGCTGGTGATGATGATGAAACTTACAAGTTGTAAATTTTGACTTGAAGTCTATTTTTCGTTAAATTCTCTCAGTTTAAATTTGTTCTACAATTGTGTGTCAGTCTAGTGTTGTTAAAAGGTAAAGATTAATCAATATGTCTTGTCTTTAATATTTAGTTATGTGTTAAATGTGCGATTTACCGCTGATATCATATATCTTGTATCAAAGCTTACACAAGCCATGTGTCACCTGCTCTGATGTAACTTATAAGTTATTTTTAGTCATGCGTGAACAAATACATCAAGAATTAAATGAAATGTAACTTATTAACCTCTATTTTTTCATTTAAAAGTAAGAACAACTTAACGGATTCTATAACAATAATATGGAAAAACAAATTGGTTCGATTCCGTCAAGTATGGACAAATAAAACAAACTAACATGACTTTTTTGTTTGTTTTATGGTTATCGTAGTGTTAACACGCTGAAGGAAACTTTATTTTCTTGTCCAGTAGGTCGTCTCGTGTATCCGTTTCTCTTTTATGAAAATAGATTTTAGAATACGATATAGTAAAAGAGCTTAGATTTAACTATGTAGACATTTTTTTTTAACTTTTAGAGTAACTAACGAATTAATCAGACGATTAATATGGAAAAAATAGTGGAGTCGGTCTTGACATTCAACTTTCGATTAAAACATAACCCACGCAAAAAGTTATACTGTTTAGTGCTATTTTAGTAATTGATTGAAAATTAAAATAGCTACAAAAATAATCGCTATTTATTATATCTGTATGTATGTAATATTATCAACTACTCAAATTAAAGCTGTCAAACGGGATTTCCCTTTTTATCAGACATCCTTTGCGAATATTAAATTCGTAATACTGTGATATTCAGTTCCTGTCCTCCATTAACTATTGCAGTTTTATTAATTTACTAATTGTAATGTTTAGTTCATCACTAATTGTTAGTAAACTAGCCTATTTAGTAAGTCAGTGTCACTATTGACATTTGTATGAAGGTCGACTTCGAGTCGTGATTTTGCGTAACTTGCCTCATCGAATGGCTTAGTCGTATTTTTATAGTTGAACAGTTTGTGTCGATAAATTACTATTATTAACTTTTTGTGTTTACGAAAATGGGTGGCGAAAGTGAGTTTAGTGATTTTTTTATGAATAATTTATAGTGATTCTGGCAGGTTGTGTTTTAAATTATATTTTTAAACCTTACTTTTTTGTTTGTATTATGTTATGTTTGTATTAAACTTGTATTATAATTTATTTTATTTAAATTTCGTTTTAAATGTTGTTCACCTTGATAGTGAAGTGATTTTAATATTGATAATGAAAGTGACAATGTAAGGCGTAAATAAATATTTTGTTTTGTTTTTTATGACATTCAGATTTTATTTTAATGTAACTAATGAATTGAAAACAATAACGTGTCAATTTTAGTATCATTCACATCATTATTATATGAATGGTAAATGTTTTTTAAGTTGTGTATACGTTTTTAAACTAAAAATGAATTTAAAAAAGTCACTGGAAAAAAGTAAAGAAATACTTCTTTTTGCTTAAAGAAGTTCTAATAAGATAACATAACACGACACTATAATAAACTTAAAACTTCATGAATTTAAAGAAACCACTACAATTTCAATGTCAAACATTATCAACGATTTCCATTCAACTAAATATTCTAATTTCGTAACTCTGGGTCTAATAAAACAACATTTATGCCCACTTTGGTTGTATTTAAATAATTAAGTAAATATTTTAATGACATCAGTAGAGTTAATCCCTCGGTCCTCTATAAAAAAATAGGCTATATAATAGACTAGCTGTTACTCACGATTTCGTCCGCAGAAATTAATATATAAAAGAAAACATACCTTATATTACTCACAGATAAATTACCTTTCTAATAGTGAAAGAATTTACAAATCGGCCCAGAAGTTTTTACATGAATCAAATACATAGGAAATACAAATTTCTACTCCTTATAATATTAGCGTAGACTAACTGTTGCTCGCGACTTCGCCCGCGTAAAAAATACTAAAAATTATTTAATCACTTCTAGAGTACCTTGAAATGGTGAAAGATTTTTTGCAATCGGCCCAGTAGTTTTTTAGTTATTTCAATACATACATAAATACTATTCTTTCCTCTATATAATGTCCGTTTTATTTCCAGTAACACAAGAAGTGGATGAGAAGAAGCCGGACCGGCCGCCCGCGAAGACAACTAACGCCATCTATCCCGTACTCAACAAGTATTCAGAGAAAACTGCCTCTGTAAAGGAGCTCAGCACTTCCAAAATAAGGTCAGCTAACAGCGAGTTTTACTACCACTGTACACCTTCAAAGCTGTTTTTAATAATATGTTGATACTGCCTGCACTAAATAATGTCGTTTTGACAGCTGTCAGTTTGAAGTAATTATGGGAAGCAAAATAATGAAATCTATCCATATTAGTATTGAGCGCTGCTTTTTCTTGATATCTTACTAATATTATAAATGCGAATGTTTAGATAGATGGATGTTTGTTAGATGTGAGCTGAACGGATCTTGATGAAATTTAGTATAAATAGTATAAATAAAAAAATATAAGAGCACACAAAGGCTTTTTTATCAATTCCAAGCGAACGGAGTCGCGGGAAAAAGCTAGTTGATTTATATTTTGCTTCGATGTAATTGCCAAATATTTTTGTTTAGTTCAGATTACAAAGATCCGTAAAGTCTGTAGCTTTTATTTTTATTCACCGAATACACTTTAGCTGTTAAGATATACGCATCAAAATTACATTCTCTATAGTTTATATTTTTATATTTCCAGCCTGCACAAGGAGAGTACGACAAGCAAAGACAGTAGCACGAGCAGCACCAGCACAGTAACACACTCCAGTAAACTGGAATCGGAGAAGATCGTACATAATGACACCGTTAATGATACACCAGATGGACAAGTAAGTATCATGTCGCTGACCAATTATGAATTCAGTCAGTATTCAATCTGTCCAGTCTAGTAATATTATAGACAGGTTTTCCACTTTTTAATACAATTTTTTGTTTATCTTTTTTACTAGAATTTAATTCTATTATTTCAAACCCAATTTTTAAGATATGTTCTTTAATAAATGTAAAACATTAAGTAATTTTATAAATAGTAATAGTCATTACCTACTACTTAGCCTTAACAGTAATTATGTATTTAATGTTAAAATCCATTAAGAAATGCCGGTTTATTTTGTTGTACAATGATGTCAGTGATCAAGATGCTATCATTGTTGATAACGATTGTGATTTGTGATTGATAACTCATTCTAGTGATTATTTCAAATGTGTAACTGTCAATACATTAATATTTAAAACATTTAATAAATAATTTCCCTCATTAAAATAATAAAACCTCATTTACAGTGATCTAAGAGAGTTTTAAGTGCAGTTTTAGTTAAGAAAACAAAGTTATATGTCAGTTAGCAAATATTTAATGAATGCCTTAAATGGTCTCTAGAAGTGCAAATGTAATTTTTCGTACAAAATTAATATTAAAGATTACTATAAGATTGTTAAATGACTCGTTTAGAACTTTAATTTTGATACATAAGTGTTTATATTTTATAGTGGTTAAAATGAATAGGTATATTGATAAGTTTGTAAATCGTGTGAAGGTGAAAAAGCCGCCGGTGCCGTTAAAAAAGAGTCCCACGCCCTCGTCAACTGTGAGCGGACTTTTCAGCGGACTGAAGAATAAAATGCTATCATCCTCTGATAAGTGAGTATAGTTTATTTATAAAAATGTTTTACAAAATAAATACTATACATTTACAGTATATACTATACATTTCGCATTTACAGTAATAATATTACGGTAAATGCGAAAATTTAGATAGGTGGATGTTTGTTAGATGTCTCTAAACTGCTGAAAGGATCTCGATCAAATTTGGCTTAGATGTAGAAGATGGAATGTTTGTTTTTTAATTCCACGCGAACAGATTTGCTGGAGAAAGCTATAAATTACATGTTTTTCATATGTAGAATAGGGCAATCTGTCAATGTATCCTCTTAAATGCTATGTTTGAATGTCGAAGATTATTCTAACAAGCTTTAAAAACGCTCGTAATAGCCAAATGGCGAACAACCCAGCTATCTAATGATCAGATGATAAAAAAATATGTCACTAGTCAAGCTTGTGGTACTTAGTGATAACTTTTTAATGGTGAAAAACTGTTTTAAATCGTCCCAGTAGTTCTTGAGCTTTCAATGCGTACAAAAATACAAATCTTTTCTCTTTATAATATTAGTATAGATTATAATTGAATTGAATGTATGTTTCCAGAGAGAAATCATCAACTGTATCAAGTGGTAGCAGCAGTAGCGGGGAGTGGGATAAGATCGACGGCGGTGTTCCCAGCAAAGCGGCAAATGCCACTGCCAATGCCACTGCTAATGCCACACCCCCCGCCAATGCCACGCCCAATGCCACACCCACTGCGGTACCGAACAACACCAGCGTGATTGCTAACAATGTTAATACATTCGACCATGTTGAAAGGAATTCTATATTGAACGATCCTCGAGCTGGCAGGTAATAACATGCTTATTAACGCTGAATATTATATTTCTATAAGTTATTTCTTATTTATTCATGAAATTAAAAAAAAAAACATGTGTTTTGAGTATTTTATGCCTAGTTACATTATCCCAATCCAGCGATTGAATACGATGCTTGATAACAATTGAAAAATTCATACCAATTGTGATCAAGTGTTGGTATCGATCGCTGGATTGGAATGATGTAAACCTGGCACTATCGAATAAAAACATAATCTAACAAATTCGCATAACATTTGATAGAAAAATCTATGATTTTAATTTATTTTAGATGTTTACAAATGCATGAAAAATATGCATGTTTTTGTATGTCTGTAACATAAATGTTAAAGTATAACTTAAAACTAGCAATCTTTTAAAATACACATTTTTCTGTTATATCCATACCTTTACTGTTAATGTTACTTAGTGATAATTAAGTTTTCACTCAAGTTTCAATTTTCGGAGTTTATTTAATACAAACATTAGAATGTTTATTTACTATTAATATAGAAAACTAGTTTATTATTTATATTTGTATGGATAATGTTGCAGTAAGAAAGTGCGTATTCGTCGTCGACATTCTGATCGGCGATCGCATAGGAGTAAGTCGTGTGCCGACGCTCGGCGCTCGGCCCCGTAAGATATTTACTGTTTCTGTGTGGAAACTACGTGAAAACAACAAAACGTAGATATTATCGATTCTAATTATTAATACAACGTGTGAAATAATATTGCACCTTAGATTGAAATGGAGTAAACAATTTGTTATTACAAAAATGATTTATATGAGAAAATAATTATATGGGAATTAATATTATTTTAATTTATGTTGTGTGTTATGTGATTAATGCAGTAAATTGAGTTCGAGTGTTTTTGTTATAATTCTCAAAGCGTATGTTGTTTAAAGTAGTAAAATGTTTAGTTTCACCTGTAATTATTTGTACATGTTTTAATTGTTGTATTTTTGTCAAAACAGACATTTTATATCTTAGCCCGCCAATATACAGTGGTGTAATTTTCTCTTACATTAAAATAAAGACAATTAATACATTTCGTACAATTATTGACTAATTTATTAAATTAGTAAGTAACAAATAAATATTGTTACGAAGAAAATAGGTAATTGGATTTGGACTTGGTCCTTCGAGCCGACACAAATAATGTTTAAATCTGTGGTTTTGTTTTAAATGACTGAAAATGATAATAAATATCGTGTAATATTGCAGAGTGAAAGCCCCGCGGCGGCGGCCGCCCAGCCAGGCGCTGCGTGACGACACGCCCATACAGATCGGACTCAGCAACGGACATGAAGGTTATTTTATTTACCTTATATTCGGCATCGAAATCTGTAATATGTCAACTCACGTTATGCAATCTCGTAGTCAGTGTACAGTTTCTAGGTTGTAATCCAGGTCGATATCGATTGCTGGACTGGAATAGTGCAAACCGGAATTTCCCGTTTAAAAAATCTCACTGGTATCTAATACTATCTTTAAAGGTACCAATAAGTTTTCGCTTTCCAAGTTAAAGGCCCGGAAACATAAATTTAAAATTGATATCTGTAACATCCATCCAATATTTCGTATATAGTTAGTATTTGTAAATTTCAGTACCAACGGAAAAGCCTACCGGAGATAAATTAGAGGAGATAAGGCCGCGAGCGCGCGAGTGGGAGAAGCACCGCGCGCCCTGGATGGACGAGCTGAAGATGAGCCAGGCCAAGAAGACCAGCTTCAGCGACACCAAGTCCCGCTCCGTCTCCTCCTCCTCCGACACCGGCGTTGCCAGCAAGGCCGGCGGCGGCAGCACCGACAGGTACAGACTCACTCATTCACTAGTTACATCATTCACTCGTTCACTGTTTAAATCATTTGTTTGTTCACTGTATAAATCACTAATAGGCCTAATTTTAGCCTTAAGCGCCTTAAGCGCCAAAAGCCTATTGTTTTGGGGTACGGACTACCGATCTTGCGGTCGAGGGTTCGAATCTCTCCATTCGACTATTGTCTCGAACCATATCCTAGCACAAGCCTAGAGCTAAGTTGGAACGGTTGAAGGAAATATTACTAAATTAATAAAAAATCTACTAAAATTTGATATAAACAAAAGATAAAAAAAATCAGTACCTTTTCTTAAGAGCAAAGGATAGGAAGAAAAAGTGTATTTGACGGCGGAGAAAACGCATAGTAAGGGGAAATATCTTTGTGTGTCTCCTTCATTTATTTAGTGAAGGCAACGCATCTGCAATTGCGGATGTCTATGGGCAGCGGTCGCTTCGCCATTTCGACGGTTTCAGGAGGCCGCTTGCTCGTTTGCCACTTTATAATATAAAAAAGTCATTCATTCACTATTTTCAGGCATTCTTTTTAAAGCAAATTCCGTCTTGCATTCACTTTATTTTTTTAATTAAATATTGAATGAAAGAGAGGAATTGGCAAGTTAGCGAGTATAGTAAATGAACTATTTAAGTAAATATTTATAGTTATAAGTTAATAAAAAATTGTTACAGAATTCTCGAATGTGGTCTAGAAGAAAGAAAAACGTCAACACACTCTATGGAAATGTCTAAAAGCACCTCTTCTATCAGCAATAGGATATCCGTTCTCGAAAGCTTTGAAGAGGTAACAATAATTTGTTATTTTCCAATTTATATTTACAAAAATAGCACATAGTTTCAATTAATTATTTTCAACTATTTACAGATAATAAAATATATGTTAATGAGAAAGGAAACTTTTTTACAGACTAAGACGCGACACTCGCTCGAAGCAAAGAAGGAGGTGAGCAGTAACTCTCGCGAGGAGACCAACTTGAACAAGTCCGTGCCCCCCCTGCCCTCTCCCACTGCTGCCGGTATGTATGACTAACATCTTTTTATTGACTTATTTTATATATATATTTATATAAGTATACAAAACAGCTAATTTAATTACATAGGAAAATAGAAAACAAGTATACACAAAATCGATAAATTAGCAGGTGCATAACTACATTATCAGAAATTATTAAAGTATTTTTTTCTAAATTAAGTAATTACATAAATTATAAAGCGCCAAACAAGGTGACGTAATTATACATTATAGTCTCCATTTCAATTAAATTAGACTAACATACATAAATTTATTTTTAATGCTACTTTTTGATAGGTGAAATATTCAATTTACAACAATAATTCCCAATCAGGAATCCCAGGGGTTCATAGGAAATCCGTCAGGGGTCCACGATATCTAGAAATATAATTGGAGGGGTCCATAAGTTGCAAATGATTGTCTTATATGTCTCTTAGCAACCCCCAGACGGCAAAAAAGGGTCCACAGAGACTATAACAACTTTTAAAGGGGTTTAGAAGGAAATATTTGCGAACCTCTGGTTTATACGATAGTAAGATACGTTATTAAACATTTCTATACTAATATTATAAAGAGGAAAGATGTGTATTTTTGGATTTTGTATGTATTAAAATAACTCAAAAACTATTGGGCTGATTTTAAACTATTTCACCATACGTAAATTTTATGTTATATATTTTCCTTCAGGTCGGACGTTAACAGCGATGCTAGAAGAACTAAAGAAACCTTCAACACCGCCGATGACGGCCGCCAGAAGCGAACCAGTCACCGACAGATCTCCCAAATTCGACAAAACAGTCACTAATACGGAGAAAATAAACGAAACCAACTCAATAACCAAGTCTTCTGCGATCATAGAGAAGACCAGCGTTATAGAAAGAGCAGAGAAGAGCGAGGAGAAGGTGGAGAGACCGGCCGCGTTGTCTGTCGGCGCGACCACGTTGGAGAGGCGATCTCATTCAAACAAACAGGATTCAAAGATCGAGGCTACTGATGCATTAATCGCACAACTTAATTGCAGGGTAAGTTACTTTTTAATTGTACCTAATTTTTCTATATTTTGCTCCGATATCAACTGCAAATATATTTACTACACAACATTTAACCGCTTATGTCAGTCCCCTTATTATTTCCACTCTCTTTGTACAAGGAATAGATGAGAAAGAAACATAGTTTAGCCAAGGGATATGTAGGAGAAACATTCGGTTTTTGTACGTCCTCTCTGCTTTTAAGGTAGCGGTTGCGTCTCTATTTACCTACCATATACTATAAAATAATTGTTGCTAATGCTTAAGTCCAAAAAAAATTGACTAGCTGTGACTCGTGACTTCGCCCGCGTTAAATTAAAAAAAATGTAGCCTCACTGGTAATGTTGCTTTATAATGGTGAAAGAATTTTTATAATTGACCCAGTAGTTTTATAGTTATTTCAATACATACAAAAATACAAATCTTTCCTCTTTATATTATTAGTATAGAATAAATACTTTACCACAATATTACATCACATTATCCCATAATTTACCTAAAACAACTGAAAAAATAAATAGTTGAACATTAGAATGTTGAAAACATTTTGTACAATTAAAACTTTTAACATTCACAGATAACAAATCTGGAGAAGCTTCTAGAAGTACAGAATGCAAAATTCAATGCGGCCATTGAAGAATTGTCATACAAACTGGCAGCAGAAACGGAGAAGAGACAGGCATTACAATCAGAGCTGGAGAAACTGGCGCAGTGCGTCACACAAGTCTAGCCCAGACTGATACTGGATTATGTGAATTATAGTGAAATAGTGTACAAACAGTGCTGTGTAGTGTTGTGCTAAAGAAACATATAGTAAATGTTGGAATTACTACCCGTGCACAATACGAGTATCAAACAATGACGTCATCACGTACGTATAAAAGATTACACCGTAAAATGGTCTTTAATGAAAGTAGCATTAGATTTATTTTCCATTGAATATTGTCTGACATTCCCTACAAAATTTTTTGTGTTTACACTCGTATTTTCCGTTGTCCAAAAGCGTTTTTATACTAGACAAATTAAGTAACTTCTTAGTTGAAATAATACTATTTAGAGCAGTTTTACTGCTTTTTTTAATATTGTTTTCTAGTACATTAACATTCCTTAATATTATTTTATAATCCCTTGTGTTGTTATTTTTATAACGCAGTTATTAACGCTTTTGTTTCGATTATGTACTTATGATACATATAATGTTAACATAAATAACATTTTATTAGCTTTAAGGCGTTGTTATTTAATAGCAGGGTTTCACTGTTTCGTGTACTTAATCCGTTAGCGCACGAAAATTTAATAAAATGCATTCACAGTTTACAGAATAGCACAAGATAAAAATAAATAATTTTTCGGTTACACATTTGTAAGGAATTCTTGTTATTACTACAGTTCCATTTGTTACGTAATCGACGCCATTTTGTATTACGTATTAATACATAAGATTATGTAAACTTTTGTAATTCTTAACAGATTTTTACATTTTTTTTTTCGAATTAAATAGCTTAACGTACAAGCAGCCTAATTGTATTTATAATTAATATTAGTTTATATGTAAGTCTCAATGCGTAAATTATGATTACAAAATTAGTGCCATTTTTGATTTAAAACTGCGTAAATTAAGGTCTGGTATAATAAGATTCAAATTTTATATCAGCTCGGGGTTATACATGAGTGCATAATTCGAGTCTGCGAAGTATCGTAAGTTCGACTAAATATTTTTGGGAAAATTTCCCCAGTGTAAAATACCTATATTTGTGTTCTGTGTACATCATCCGAGCCGCTGTAAGGTTTAAATGGCAGTATATTAGTATGAATATTGAAGTTCATGATGAAATTATCTATATGTGACTGCAAAATAAGCAAAGAGTCTAATTCCAGATTGTGGGAACCAATGAATTAAAATTTAGTCATAGTAGTAAAATTTGGTACATACAATTCTTTACAATTGACATTTTTTAAAAGTTTTTTTTATTTAGATACATATCATTTGTGATTGTAACATTCCACATGTTTTAACGTTTTTTTATCGTTTATTGGTCAAAGATATATTTTAGCCAAAGTATGATTTTCCATCATTATGCATAATATACGCCGAGAGCCATATTTTCTACCTGTAATTAATATATTTTTGTATTTTGTACAGAGATTGATTATAATCGTTTTTACAATGTAACAGATGTACCTTTTTGTCTAAACATATCTTTAATATTTTTGTTCACTAATCCATTATAGAATAACTCGATGTCAGTTCCACCTCTTTGATTATAAGTATTAAAAAAAAGTTTATTTAGTAAATTGTCAAAAGGTTGTGTTTAACCATCCAATGTTTTAAACATTTATTTCAAAATGAGGTTTGTATCCAAGGCGTCTTTATATTGTTTATACTTCTAAAATTATAAAACAAGAGCATAAATGTGAAAAAAGTTCTCCGGAGAACTTTTGTTGGAGTAAATTCCCTAATGTTTGTCATAATACAAAATGAAATGTAGTCAAATTTGTATGAAACATTTCATTTATAGGTTATTGTAACTATGTTATGGATTTTCTGTGGTCTAGTAAAATAAAGTTGCATTTTACATACGCCTTGGATGTATCTTTACGCGATTGAATAAGGCTCGTAGAATCTGTAGTTGGTTATATCAGTAAAAAATGTTGAAATATGATTAGTTTAAACTAAATAATTTATAAACTATAGAGAATAGTTTATAGATAAAATTGTGATAGACATTGCCTAAATATAAACTTACGTTACTAAATCATTTTAAAGGCTTTAATTGTGCACAAATAACATGAATTATATGTACAGATGAAAAAATTGTCTATTAGTTTTGACAAAGAAAAAATATATATTGTTAAGTTGTCCTAGCTAGTACAGATAGCAGCATAATTTTATCGATTAATAGTAATTTTGTACAATAAATTATCCCACAGTAATTGCACACATGAACATAATAGTGTAACCTAATCGAGAATATAAAAATCCTGGCCTAAAGGCGCTGCAATCGCCTTTGCATCACTTTAGTAAGCATAAAAATAGTTTTTTTTATCACTGGGCAAGCTATAATCGAGATTTTTGTAACAATAGTTTCAAAGTAGGCATGTATCTAGTTGTATGAAAATCGATTCAAGTATTGGATATACAAATATCGATTTTTAGTATCGATTAGAATAACAAAAATTTTCCGTAAAAAATGATCAAGTCCTTTTTTCTTATGCAGACAGTACACAGAAAAATTGGAATTTTTTATTGAATACATTTGTTTTAGAATGCATAATGTTGGCTTTCAGAATATTTTTCTTATTGCTTTTTTAATTAGCAATGTACATGTATTTTTTAATAAAGATAGTGACAATTCACTTTTTTATCAGACAACTGTAATTATTTTTGATTGTTGAAAAAGAAGTATCATTTGTTTAATTTATTGTGTTAATTATTTATTATTAATTAACTGTATATTTCAGAAACATTATCTTAGAAAATTTTTAATCAACAACAAATGTTTAAGCCCTGTTATATTAATTCAGTCCAGCGATCTAATCCAGCACTGAATTACAACTGGAAAGGAGTCTTACTTGAATGAAGTTGGTTACATTGTGAACTTTATCCAGCGTTAGATTCAATCGTTGTTCTGAAATAATGTTAACTGGGCTTTATTTAGAATTGAAATATTTTAAAAACCGGTAAATACCAGAAAACTAGTGATGTACCTGTGTAGTGAAATGCCTTTAAAAAGTCCGATTTTAGGCGTTACTTATTTCACGTAAGGCTCGTTCGTACCTGAGATATTGTATTAAAGAAGTCGATTCTATTTATATAAAATGACGAATATTATTGTGCATATAATACTGACATGTTCAAACTCTCAAGTATTAAAACTCTTATGAGCTTAAATAGCTCTTTTGTCAACATCTTTGTACGGTTCTTTTCAAATATCTTGACTGTCCAAGGTCATCAATACTCTGCGAAGTAATGCCCAGTCATGATAAGGTATCTGACAAGTACTGCACATGATTTGAAAAGAAATGTATTAAAAATGGTCGACTACAATAATATGTAATTCAAATTGCGATTTGTTAAATGTATTTGAAAAAAGAATCATACAGTTTCTGTAAGACAATTTTTGTTATAATTTATCGTGCATGTCAAAAAGGTTCAAAAGCTTGAATATCGATATTTCTATCGACAAGTCGACCATCCCTAAAATGAAGTAATAAGGCGACACGTACGTTTGCGAAGCCAATAGATGCATTTATATTAATTCTTGATGTACATAAGTTTTATAAATAAAGGCGTAGATAATAAAATGTACATAAATAAAAAGCTTGGTGGAAAGTACACGTCGAGTTGGGAATGAAGGGGTTTATATGATAAACCGAAGTTATTTTGTATTATAATAATAAAAATTCGATGTAATTTTTTTTAGTACTTAATTTTTTTATGTACGCTGTTCTCACTCCATGCATTCCCGATGTCTAAGAGGTTCGATATATTCATATTATGAATAATAAAATAAATATACTATGTAATATTAACTGAGTTTTTTTCTACTATCCCACAGTTTAATGACAAACAAATTCTATGGGCCTGACCCACCACTAATAAAGGCTCAGATAGCTTAAAAATGACGTCATTGTTAGATCAGGGAACAAAATCCGATATTTCTGTCACATATTTTACACGTTAGATTGTTGTCAGACAATTTACAATTTGGTGGGACAGGCACTTACACTTACGAGAAAATGACTCCTTTGATTACTGATCGTTAATTACTATTACCATTTATCTTTAGACAAAATTAATATTAACACCTTTTATAAAAAGGGATGGAATGGGAAGAGTACTAAAATTAGGCATTCTAAACTTATTTAGACCCAATTAAAATCGTCCATAACTGTGCAATTGACTGTCCACTGCCATGACATTACAAATGATTAAAGCACTAAATGAAATTCAAATTAAAAAATAACATCTTTACCTCCATTGCGGTCGCCTGGAATAAATTACAAATTAATTAAATGAAGTTCTGTTTTGAAGCAAAAGTTGCTAAAAAGTTTGGATATCTAGACTTGTTCATGCTATTCAACACCCTCAGCGCCAGACCCTAAGTGAGCGTTTAAAACACACATTTTTTTTTGTTTGAATTTATTTAAAAATACATAACATATCATATATTGTTTTTCACCCCCATTTTTCCCCTTTTTTCCTTGGATTTTTATACACGTGGCTTGGAAAATAGTTCATTTCTAGACACTTTTTGACAAAAAGATACACATGGCGCCTAAGGTATTAAGGTATTATTTTATTAAGCGTAGTTCGAATATAACATAGATTTAACTTCAAGCTTACGTCATCAAGTAATAAGTTAGCAAACATGAAGACTTTAATATTAGACACGTTCTACTCAATTAGATTACCCGTTACGGTAGCTTATAAAATTGTCTTCTTAATCCCTGCTAAGCCTAGTTCGTAATTAAAATGCCGACAGACTTTAATATCCGGCTGAAATAAGACAATCAACCCGGCAATTTGTCCCTAAGTAAGCAGTGAACTGACCGTAAAACAGTAAGGGCTGCCATACACGGATTGCTTTAAGCACTCGGTACAAATAAATGAAATTTAGGGTTGGTGTTCAATAATCAATGTACACGGCCGCAGTTTGCGGTAAAATTCCAGGATAGGTGTATTTTTATTGCTTTAGACAGTTGGTGTCGACTAATGGATTAGTCCGTGTATGGCGTACCTAAGAGGATAGTAATTAAGAACAAGCATTGGTAATTTAAAAAGTAATAAACCTGATTGTAGATAACTTCAGCAAAGATACTTGGCTGAAATGATTAGGATTTTTCTCGGTAACTATTGCCAAAGATATTTGATCTTTTTAAAAAGAAAATACCAATAAGAACTCCTTTCTTATCGGTTTGTGATAAGTACATAAGATATTATCATGTAAGTAATAATGTTTGATTTAAATGGTGTAATATTGTGCAATAGGATTCACAGTACGTAAATTGACGTGTTGAGAAGGAAATCCTTTTAATAATGACTTGTACTTTGATCCGTTTAAAATTCGATTGTAAACTCAAAATCCTTACAACAATGACTCAACACAATAAACATGACAACAATGACTTGAATCTTTGAACAATTTAATTATATAACAAATTTTAAAACTTCTTTTAGTAAACTATGTCATTCAATTTTGATTCTTTTGCATGTATTCCATTTTCTTCATCTTATAAAAAAAGCAAGTGAGTTCAAAATTTTATTAAGGTATACACAAATTTTTCATTTTTCGTGTTTCGTTAGACGATAAATAACTAGCTTTTACTTGTGACGTTTTCCACGCAGGATTAAACAAAAACGAAGTAACCTATGTGTTCTTCCAGACTTTATTCTACTATATTTTTGTTAAATTTAATCCATATAAGTTAAGCCGTTCTGAAGATAGGTAGTAACAATTATACACCGCTTCAAACATTTCTAGTAGTATGATGAAGTAAGAAAATTATTAAGCGATAGATTTTTACTAAACATAATTACACTAATTTTTATTTATAATTTTGAATATCATCATGATTGGTGTTTTTTCTACTTATCATCATGAACATCGTGTGATAAACGCTCATAGTATAAAATGATATTTCATTCAATGTTTTTAATATTAGTGTGTTCAAAATCGTGTGTTACAGACAGACATGGCGCCACAAATTAAATATACAAAGGTAGTGTTAATTACACTTGATTGGTTTTCTAAATTTACCCTGAATTCAAGAAAAAATGCAAATGTTTAATCGTGTTTTGTTGTGAAGTGTTTTGATACGTTGTGTTTGGTTTCCACTATCCTGAAACAAAAGACTGTAAAATGTCAGCCTTTCCAGGTAGAATAAATCCGTGAAAACGTTACAAAGCAGTGGTAACTTATTTTGATGCAGTTGAAAATAGAAGACATTAAATATGACTAATTCAAGTCGATGCATAATTTTTACTCATTATTTCATTTTTAACAGCTGTTCATCGACAACCAGTGGGTGGACGCCGTCAGTGGAAAAACCTTCGAAACTTACAACCCTCATGATGGCTCCGTTATCGCTAAAGTATCTGAGGGTGGTGAGGTAATTATATAATGTAATTTTTAAACGTCCCCCTATAAAAATGAGATTATAGGACTCTTATCTATTCGTCGTATATCTAAAAAAAATATAATTTTACGCACTGACACAGCAAATTATTCGTGCTAGGTGTAAAGTAATACACAACGAAGTGATGTGATAATTTTTAAAACATGCAATTCAACCGCGCCAAGTTTCTTTATCATGTACCGGATATACTGCAAGGTCAATACGTTAAATATATTACACCACATCGTAAATAGTTTTGCAATACAAACTAATCGCTTTCTAGATATTAATCCGACCATTCATTGTTGAACAAACGACTACGTATGCGTAGATCTAAAGATACGGAAGACGCCAGGACCATGTTCCTTCCTTCCTACCTTCCTTTTTACAAGCACGAAGTAATTTGTAATGTTCGTAATATACGGGATGTCAACCCGTAAACATGGCGCATACAACTGTGCCAAAATATTGGGAGCCATAACAACCCAATCGTGGTAAGAAACCCGTGTCTTACAAACATTATATTAGTAAAATCACGATAGTTTAAAGTTATGTATTACAGGGTCATTTATTTATTAAGCTATGTCTTCTGTACCAGGCGGATATAAATTTAGCGGTAGCAGCAGCGAAGCGTGCCTTCCAACGCAACTCTGAATGGCGTCTCCTGGATGCATCCCAAAGAGGTTATTTACTCTACAAATTCGCTGATCTGGTGGAAAGGGACTTCGAGTACCTCGCTGAACTTGAGAGCTACAACAATGGGATGGTGGTTAGCTTGTCAAAAGGATTCAATCGGCACGGTATCGATTATATTCGATACTTGGCCAGTTTGGCTGACAAAGTTCAAGGAGATACCATTCCTCTTAGTGAGTATTTGGACTTAAAATATCGTATGTAGATCTTATTTTTAACTATTTCATCCGCTAAAATTATGTAAAAACATGTGTTTAACTGCCGCACAGAGTTGTTAGTAATTATGGTCATTTAAGAATTCCTTCATCATAAATTTGATCCTAAATGCAGCAGTAAAATGTTGTTTTCGTTATTACATGAATTTAAGTGGAAACACTTTAAATATTACACTCTATCACTACTCCGCATATGTTGCTTGAAATATCTCACAAAGTTTGCTAACGTTTCATAAACCATTATAACAACGAGAAGGTAATATATGAGGGTAACGTTGCAAAGTTGTTTTCCCCTATTACCTAGAAATACAAACAATTTTCAACATGAAACTCTCGTAAAACGTTTTGGTCAATTACGTTATTGTTACGTAATGTGATATGTGGCTTTCTTTTACATTTTTGGCCATATTTTAAATGTTTGATGAAAATTTTGATTCAAGAAATTTGAGAAAAAATTGGAAAACCATTAAAAGAATGTATAGAACAAAGTTTGATTATATTTTTTTTGTGCTAATTTCAGGTGGTGATGTTTTTTCATACACGTTGAAGCAACCTGTGGGCGTGTGCGGACTCATCCTGCCGTGGAATGGACCGATCATGATGTTTATCCACAAAGTAGTAACTGCTCTCGCCGCCGGTAATTTGTTTTATTTGAAACATTGAATAGTTACTATTAACAAATTTTAACAAACATTTTCCCATAGGTAATTTACTTGAAATTTCTCGATTATGAAAGAGTAGTGTGGACTTCTTTTTGCTTTTACTATATTTAACTTTCATTGTTCATGGGTCTTCTTAATTTTAGAAATCATCTGACATCATTTTCTTAGATTCCTAATTAACGTTATATAGCTTATTAATCTATTGGCTAAGGGTTAAATATGTAATATTTCAGGTTGCACGGTGGTTGTGAAGCCAGCAGAGCAGACGCCGCTGACAGCGCTGGCTCTGGCCGCGTTGCTGCAGGAGGCGGGCGTGCCGGCTGGCGTTGTCAACGTCGTCAACGGTTTCGGCGTTGGTGCTGGCACCACACTTACCCACCACCCCGACGTCGCCAAGATCTCATTCACTGGATCACTTGAAGTAGGATAATTGTTTTTTCCCTCGAACTATCTGTACTCACAAAGCTCCATCAGCAGTCTTTTAAATTGTATTTTTTTTAGGTTGGAAAACTCATTCAAAAAGCAGCTG